GTAAAGCCTGTGCTATTTCAAACCCGTTATCTCCTTTATCCGTAATCATCTATACCTTTTGTAACTAAATATCGATGTTTTGGTATGATTGGATAAGACTTGATGCCAGGAGCTTACAGTGAGCAAATCTCATTTTTGGCATAAATGTCAGTTACGAGGTTTTGCAGAACCACGATACGCGCTTTTGTACTTTAAACGACGCTATACATATCTACATATATATGAATACCTACATATGTATGTGTATATGTACTTATGTAAGCGAAATGGGCTTGCTTGAAAAAGTGTGTGGGTATTACATATAATTATAGCAGTTTTCAGTGATTTAGTTGATATGAGCGCGCGTAAATCAAGCTCACAGCACACTTTCGTTTTCATAGTTCCGTATAAGGACGGGTGATCGCGAACACCCTATAGCTTACATTATAAAACACACATTCCTCAAAAGTTTATTAATTAACAAATTTTCACTTTTTGGTATTAAGCGCTAAAAATGTTCACAGCCGCATATTTACCATCCAGCAAAAACGAAAGTAAATTTTAAAAAGAACCAAAGTAGTCTTCCTTCCCCATCTGATTAAAATGGCCTGGGAAATAATTTTTTTTTGCATCTTCTGATAAACGGGGAACTTTGAGTTATTACACTTTTGAAGAACTCTGCGATATGTATGTATGTACGCACATAGATTGGTCAACAAAATTATATTATGGTAAACGAGTTTCTAAATATTTACATATTCTTTAAGGATGGTGCTTCATATGGACTTGTATAGTTAAACTTTAAATTTAACTTTAGGCATAGTAAAACCAAACATACTCTTTTTTGTCTGCTTTGTACTTAAATTGTACATATAACAGTTAACCAAATAACAAAAATACTGACTTATACTATATGCCGTTCAATAGCGTGATTTGGTCTTGTTTCTTAATTAGTTACAATCGTTTACCAAAATATACTGCACTAACAAAGCTATTTAATAAGTACATTAATCTTATTTCGTGGATTCCCCATTATTTTTTATCGCACTTTATATATTTATTCTTAAGTATAAAATGTAGTACGGCTTTTTTCACTAAATAATATTTACAAATATTTCTTTTTATTTTATTTTTCATTTTAATCGTATGTATGTAAATCGACGTACTTCCCAACCAATCAAATAACCAACCACCATCTTTGCCTACAAAACAAATACCATCAACTACTCAATTGTCTCACCATAAAATGTCACACTGTAACAATTATGATAAACAGGCCCTTTAACCTGAACGAAAGGTAAATTTCGTTTTTTGCAGTTGATTTCTTTACTAGATACTTTTTTTTTTGCAATTACACATTTTTGAAACAATGATCACTGTTTAATAAAATAACAAATTACTTGTATTTAGATTTGTTTCAGTGTTAGATCAACTGGATGCCCGCGTTGAAAAATTTCGCAAAGATGCATTGGGCCTGCAGGAGAAAAAGGATTTTCTGCTCATGTCTATTGATCTGATCAAGAGTCACGATATGCTACAGTCGATGATGGAGGGTAAGTGATTCACTTTACATATAGTATAATAACTGTTAATTATTATATCTCAATATTTTCAGCTGAACGCGAGGAAATCTTTTGCTACATACAACGCGTAAATGCGCGTCTTTCCACCGTCGATTTAATGGTGCACACGGTGCGCGATCGCTCTCAAGAAGATGCGCTCAGTCAAATCAACGAACTCATCGATTTGATGATCACAATGGGCGATCCAGTAATGGCACGCCAGCGTTGCCAACAATACCTGAATGCATGCTGCAGTGCATCGGAGTCGTCAGCATCGTATGAATATGGCGTCGATATGGATGCTGGTCCAATAGATAAGAAATTCGAGAGTGCTCTACTGGGTTGTACGCTCGACGATCAGAAAAATATCAAGAAGCGGTTGCAGGCTTTAATGGGATACTTGAACAAACAAACTGTACGAAATTAAATGAATTTAGGTAAAAACAGCACAGATATGAAGAAGAGATTTTATTTTAATTAAATGTGTAAGCCATAGAATGGATCATAATACAAAAATGGTATGTGCGATTGAAGAGGAAAGCACACAAATTGCTGCCACAAAATCGCGACAACTGCATGAAATGCGATTTAACCCCGCAGAGACACTTCCACCTCAAACCAATTCCTGTATATTGCAGTTGTACGGTACACTTCCTATTTAAGTACTTCTTTTAAACTTTTGCCACAAAAATTAAAACTTTTTTTAGTTATATTTATATTATTATATCATTCAATATTACTTAATTTTGCAATTTTCGGCTAGACAGTATTTGACCATCCTTAAATACATAATGTTGCTGTCTATTATAAATTGAATTACAAGCTTTACATTAAAAAATTGGAACCAATACAATTTCTTTAAACTGAAATTTACCTTTTTCTAGTTAAAAATTGCACACAAAAACAAAGTAAAGCATGAATGTTTACATAAATTTATATATAGAAAAAATACCAAATCAAATGAGCGAACTGTTATGTAATACATAAAACTTATTATCTGAAATAAAAGATTCGATTTTTAAAGTATTCATTATTGACTGTCGCCAATAACATAGTGCTATAAAAAAAAAAAAAAACAGATACACCCGATACATAACAGTGCAGTTTGAAGGTTTTTCTTAAATTCGGTTTTCATACAATTTTTAGATATTGGTCATGCCCCCACCCACTTCACGATTGGTGAAGTGGTTTTCAAGATATACGTATTTGATTAAAATGGGCGATGCCAAGCACAGTTGCCAAACATTTTATTAAAACGATGTGTTGCTAAAGAGGCATTGTAGATATGAATTTTAAGTAAATATTAAAGATTTCTTTAGCCACAATGCACAAAAGATCAGAAAAACTAATCTAACAAAATAGGCCTGTCTGGAAAGCGCTGGCAGCTAGTACTCTCTTATTTTAAATTAAATACCCATGTTATTTGTATCTAATAAAATAATAATAATAAAAAAATAGGTTTATAAATATCTTTCCAAACCATGTTTGATTTTTAAAATCGGATAAGAAATACTCAACTAATATATAGACGAGATCATTAAGTACGAAAATAACAGTTTTTTTTTTTTTAATAACAAAATAAATGAGGTTGTATTCGACCCTACCTAAAACCTGCACTATGTTATGTTTCTGGTTTATTTTCACTGTCGCACCGTGTAATTAGCTATTTTTAGAAAATGTCTTCAAGCGTGTCAAAAATACGCAAAACAGTGATCATCCGGCTGTAGCACACGGTCTGTCAGCAACCAAACTGCTCCCTCTATGCCAAAGAAAATTTGTTTAATGTTCTTTGAAGTGAAGTAAACGATCTCATTGTCTTCTGCCGTTAAGTTGCGATGGTAGTCGCAACGCACAATTGCACCAAACTTAGGCACTGCATAGAAGAGTGCTCCCGTGCGGCTATCTACCATCATTCCCTTGCTGGGGCCCAACAAGCTGCCCAGCAGCTCTAGCTCAATAGTATTCGATTTGTCGTTCACCTCCACCACCTCTTCATGTTGCGTCTGCTGTTCGGTGAATTCTTTTGCGATTTTATTTGAATTTAGTTTGAGAGCGTTATTCAACTTCTTCTTCAGTTGTGAATTTGGTGTTGCATACAACTTGCCATCCGCATCGGCGAAAAGTAGTTCACGTTGCTGACCGAATGCGATGTCAATTGGTTTAATTGGAAATGGTGTCTCGATGATGCCTTGGAACTTCCGACTATTTAGCGCGCGTCGCTGCCACTTCTGTTCAATTATGTCGTAGGCGAGTATGTGTGCGTCATCTGGACGTAGAAAGTAGACATATTTTTCAACCTTGCAAAGTTCAGGAGGGGGACCCAATTTGATAACCAAATTTTCTGCATCCTTTGGTGTTAAGTAGCGACCGCAATCAATTCGCAATACCTGTGTAGGACGAGCCAAAAATTAACTACATTAAGCTACATTTAATTTATCTTAAACCAGGTTCAAAATCTCGGCATTCGATATCGAACGTAACTCGAATCATTGTTGGGCAAGTTTTCAATTGTAAGGACAATTAATTGATAATTGTGATATTCTGCAGTTAACATTTAATAAATTTTTAATTGGTTGCCGTATTTTTTATTTTATTTGTAAGAAGTTTAATTGTTATCAAAAAAGTAATTGCAATTAAATTAATTGCCAACAAGATGATTGACAAATTAACTGATTAACGCCTAACACTGACTCGAATCGAAATTTGATTGTAAGATAACAGCATCCAATAGCGAATGCAATTTGCATTGTGGATAAAACAACTGTCACTTTGTAATCTCTCGTTTACGAATACCGCGATTCAGGCCCAGGTTACGAAGCTAAAATACTCAATTTTCACACGATTGGATTTTACTATTAGCTCCAGAAAAGTTTTTATTAGATTCATGTACATAGTTAAGGACCAATGACGACAGCGAAATATTTATGTGACAAAATCAGGACGAACACGACAAATTAGAGGGGAAGCTAGCTACGAAATGTAAGGGGCTATTAAGTATACGTTTTTTTACAGTAGCTGGAGGCTGCTTGAATATTGAAATATTTAAATCATCGTTTCCCTTATTTCCAGGGCAGTTTAAATCACTTTACTTGTAAACATTATTTAAAAACTACTACTTCTGATTCCCATACAATGGCTATAGACAGGCTAGGCTCTTCGGTTAGAACGGTTATTATTCAATTAAAAATGTTTTATCCAAGAGTCAGAATGCTGGCTCCGTCTTGAGGACGAGGAAACTTCCGAACACATTCTTTGTGACGGTTCGGACTTCGCTAGACAAAGATTAATTTATTTCAAAGCTCCAATAGTTAACCCCTTAGTAATAAGGAATTCGACTACGAAAACGCCTTAGGATTAATTAGGGAAGCGAGGCTGTCTTGGGCATACTGGGTTAGGAACTCTCTTTAAAGCAGTGATGCTCAGAGAGAGCTTCTTGTTTTAAGCATCACTGCTTTAAAAGTACAAAAGACCTTTCAGGTCGCAGTGTCCCTTATTCTGACATACCCGTGCTTTTATTTGTCTATCTGTCTTACACCCTTTTCAGTTTGCTTTTAAAAAAGCTCGGTGTGCTTTCTTGGAGATCGAGAGAACTTTCGAACAGCAATCATTGGCTCTGATCCAATAGTTTTCGTGTAAAATCCTGTAAAAATGTCAAACAGCAAAATTACTCTCCGAAATGAGCGTAAAAAGTGAGTAACAACAAAAAGTACAGGAACAAATAAAAAGCAATTTTCCTGTAAAAACGTCAACCAGTGATCGATTGACACCTTTTATGCTTTTACCAGAAGAAAAAGTTCGGGTAAAATCTTGCGACTTCATTCTCTACACAACTCTCCGAAAATCGCTCTCATTTACAGGATTACCTGTAAGTTCATGTAGTACTGGATCAGAGCTATTTTGTGGTCTCAATTGATTTTTTCTCTCTTAATTTCTGAGCAGATAAACTTCGAACGCAGTAGAGTGTAGGAGCAGCAGCATGTTAGAACTGTCAGGGAAATTGGGTATTGATTAGTAGGAAAATATTTTAAACGAATTTCCTACGTTCTCACAACATTTTTGTTGTTTGAAAAATAATCACTTCTTCTTCTTCTTAGTTGGCGCTGTAACCGCCTAAGCGATTTTGGCCGAGTCCAAAACAGCACGCCAGTCATTTCTCTTCTGTGCTAACTGACGCCAATTGAAAATGCCAAGTGAAGCCAAGTCCTTCTCCACCTGGTCTTTCCAACGCAGTGGAGGCCTTCCTCTTCCTCTGTTACCAGCATCGCGGCCCGCGTTGAATATTTTCAGAGCAGGAGCGTTTCTGTCCATCCGAACGACATGGCCAAGCCAGCGGAGCCGCTAAATTTTAATTCGCTGCACTATGTCTATATCGTTGTAAAGCTCATACAGCTCATCGTTAAATCGTCTGCGATATTCGCCATCACCAACGCGTAAAGGTCCGTAAATCTTTCGCAGAATCTTTCTCTCGAAAACTCCAAGAGCCGCCTCATCAGATGCTTTCAGTGTCCATGCCTCCGCGCCATACACCAGCACAGGCATGATGAGAGACTTATAGAGTGTGATCTTTGTACGACGAGAGAGGACTTTACTTCTCAATTGCCTACTCAGCCCAAAGTAGCACTTGTTGGCAAGAGTGATTCTCCGTTGGATTTCAAGGCTGACATTATTATTGGTGTTAATGCTGGTTCCCAAATAAACGAAGTCGTCTACTTTTTCAAACTTGTAACTGTCAAAATAATCACTTAATTAAGGCCAAATATTTGTTTTGGTTTTTGTGTCAAATTTCTTTTCAGAACCGGGACAAAATATTTTTATGTTTAAAACAAAATCTAAAAATTAAAAGAAAATGAAATTAAAAAAGATAAAAAAATCAAAAAAATTAAATGAAATAAGATCCTAAAAATTAAAAGAAATTAAAAATATATATTTCTTTTAAAATAACGAAATCTAAAACCCAATAGAAAACTAGATTGAAAAAAATAAAAAAATAGAAAAAAAAATAATAAAAAGATAGAAAACAAGTAAGAAAGTCTAAGTCGGGCGGAGCCGAACATTAAATAGCCGGAGCAAATATTAAATATATGTTTTTCACCTGTCCGAAAGCTACCGCTACATGGTAGCCCGGTATCAATTTTGAGTAAATTAGCTTCCTTAAATTTTGAAATATTGAAGTTTCAAGCATTTCCAAAATTTACCGTTATATGAAAAGCTCCGTAGTTGAAAAGCACCGAGTTTGATACAAATTGGTATAACGGTTACTGAGATACATATATATGATCATAAGTGGGCGGTGCCACGCCCATTTTCCAAAATTTTATCATAAACTAATTTCTTGGTAAAGAATTGTTGCAAGCATCAATTTTGAATAAATTAGCTTTAATATTTACTGATTTATCGAAGATTTTGTATTTCTCTAAATTACCGTTATATGGGATGTGGGCGTGGTTATTGTCCGATTTTCTGCAGTTTGGTATGCTGTACCAAGGCCAACAACTGTGCCAAGTTTGGAAGAAATCGGTGCTGCGGCTGCCAAGATATACACATGTAACCATAAGTGGGCGTGACTACGCCCATTTTTCAAAAATTTTTCGTCTAAAAATCATTGTAAATGTCAATTTTGAGTGAATAATTTTCAGTAGTTACTAAAATATCGCAGTTTTCGTATTTCTGAAAATTACCGTTATATGGGAGGTAGGCGTGGTTATTTTCCGATTTTGCCCATTTTCAATACCGTCCGTTCTACGCCCGAAAGAAGTACACGTACCAAGTTTCGTTAAGATATCTTAATTTTTACTCGAGTTATCGTGTGCACAGACGGACGGACGGACGGACAGACAGTCACCGCTTAATCGATTTCTCTTTTCATCTTGATCATTTATGTATACATTTGTCTATATCTACCTCGATTCGTTTTGCCTGTTACAAACAACCGTTATGTGAACTTGTGTACAAGTGCGCTCGGGTATAAAAATAAAAAGCGTTTATAATTAATCAACTTAAAAAGATACATTCTTCTTTTTAAGACAATAAATTCATACAAAAAATAAAAAAGTAAAGTAAACTAAGTTCCTAAAAATTGTTTTAAATTGAAAAATATACATTTTTCTTTTTAAGATAATGAAATCTAATAATTAATAGAACGTTATATTAAAAAAATATACATATATTTATGTATATGTATATACATTAGGGCGGGTAAATTTTTTTTTCGACATCGATTCAGCTTGTACATAAAATTCTAAGAAAAAAATCCTTTAAACCAGAGATGCTCACTACTTAAGCACATATACAAATTCACTCTTTAAATATAAAAAAAAAAATTCTCGCCCTCCCTTACTCAGTATATATGTATATGTACAGTATCGGTCATATCTATAGCACGCGATTTCAAAGTGATATTGTGTGCCACTTATGTTTATTTATTAATTTTTATGAATTTTCAATTAAAATATAGTTCATTCTCAGACAATCCCGATACAAACCCAAGTGTAACAATTTGTAGAAAACTACAAAAAAATTCAACAAATTTTCACCTAAATTTCAAAGTTTTTTCTCGGAAGTGTAAGAATTTTTTTGAGTACACAGTTTTTTAGCCCCTTCAATTTTATTCTGATAATGTGCAAGTTTCAAGTTTATTCATTACATATATGGAAGCCAATGTGACAAAAAAAAATTCTAAAAAATAAACGCTAATTCTTAGCCACTTAAAATTTTCACATTATCAGACTAAAATTGAAGGGGCTAAAAAACTGTGTACGCAAAAAAATTCTAACACTTCCGAGAAAAAAGTTTGAAATTTATGTGAAAATTTGTTGCACTTTTTTGTAGCTTTCTACAAATTATTAAGCTTGGGTTTGTATCGGGTTTGTCTGAGAATAAACTACATTTTAATTGAAAATTCTTAAAAATTAATAAATAAACATAAGTGGTTTACAATATCACTTTGAAATGGCGTGCTATAGATATGACCGATACTGTATATATCAGATATACTGAGCTGCCGTATGTCCTGGCATATAAACACAATTCATAAGAAAGTGCGTGAGTTTCATATGGGAGGACGTTTGCTTTGCCACTCCAGTAAAATGTACAAATTTGCAAAACCAAATATAGAATCAAAAAATAATAAAAAATATGTTCTCACTGAAAAAAATTTTGAAATTTTTATGCTATCTATGCACCATGCTAGACAGTATGCACCGGATCGTGAATACCCCTAATATAAATCCCTGGGTGCATCAGCTCGCTTAAAGTTGATAGAAATTTCGCGATTTAGAGGGAAAATATGAACAAATGACCGGCAAAAAAAAAAGAAATTATAAATTATAGTTGGAGAAACTCCAAACCCTCATTAAATTTTATTGCATATTGCTTCAATGGTGCTATCATTTATTAACGCTTTAACGTGGGACTTTTATAAGCGAGCAGTGTCCCAAGGAAAATGTAAAATTTGTGCTTGCAATATGATGTAAATATGTGCAAGGATTCCTTCCACTAAATTTTGGAACTTTTCAGCCACTAGGTCGCTATCATTTCTTAACGCACTGTATTATTCCACATACATGTACTGTAATACTCCCATTGTTAACAATTTTCATTCACTAATCGTACAATAAAAAAAAACAACTTGTGCTTTTTTTTCATTTAAATAAATAAAATAAATTTCGTGTACACATAAATTTTGTAGATGCATTGTGATTTCACTTCAATATAAAAGTTTTGAGAAGCCCTGCTTTATTATTATTGCACATACTTATACGTACATACATATGTAGTATGTATGTATGTCGTTTGAGGCATTTTTAAAAAGCTCCTTCAATTATAAATCCCCCCTCTCTCTCTCACTCACCTCAGCATCGTTCCGAATTAAGTCATAAACCAACAACTTTGGTGCACACATATTCGCGTTTTCCGACTTCATTTCCTCCCATCCGGCATCCAACACCCACAGTCGCCCCAAATTATCCACTTGCGTCCAAATAGCTTTCTGTATTAAATCACAATCACTTCTGTTACCATTAGCGTGCGCATACATGTGTGGATAAATCGTACTTTGTAGCGGCACATATCTTTCAGGCCATTTGGTTGCGATCAACGTCGGAAATAGTTCGCTATCGACGCTGATACAAAGGAATACACGCAAATAATGCAGCGAAAGATGGCGCACGCGATAGGATTCAGTCAGGCCAGTCTGTGCTAAGTGCCAGGCTATGCTCGTATGGATTTGTGACGCCATTATCGTAACACCAATCAGAGTGATAATTATAGTGGAATATGCAAGTTTGCTATTTATTTGTGTTGATGACATTTTCGTGTTCCGTAGATTTGAAGGTGGTAACGTCCGAATGGTTTATGGAGAGCTTTTCAGCACTTTCCGTTGGAAGGGAGTTTGCAACTAAATGCAATTGATGACCTCCACACTGTCGGGCTGTGGCTCAAAATACTTCGCTTCATGCACGTTCTAAGCGCTGTGTGAGTGAGCTGAGCTGCTTTGTTTTCAATCGTTTATGAAAAAGTGGAAATTGGTATTCGATTGCAAGTGTCCAAAATTATGCTGAGCTCGGCAATGGTATTTATATCAAATGGTCAATTGCTTGGTTGGCGGCAAACCGGCGCAGCAATGCTTGTGACTGAGTTGTGCAATGCCAACGCTTGCCGCTAGCAAAAAAAAAAATCAGTGAATACATATCGCTCATTTAATAAAACACTGTCGCAAGTCAAAAACACATAATTTTTGAGTTATCGAGTCTATCACTGAATTCATCGTAGTCCGTGAAATTTACCAATCTGAATTGTAACGAACAAATGTACCTATAATATTTACATATATGCTATGAAAAGGCGGCCGCTGTGGTGTAGTGGGTAGCAGTGCGCGCTACCATTCCGCAGGGTCTGGGTTCAAATGCGGTTCAACCCAACATTCTAAAGCGGTCGCCCCTCGGCAGGCAATAGCAAACCTCTGCGTGTATTTCTGCCATGAAAAACCACTCGTCATAAAAACGCTATGTGACAAAACCATAATGCGCACGCCACAAATCGGAGGAGAAGCTCCTGTTGGGCGAAAAAACCGTGAAGTTTTATGTGAAGTTAAATCTCGGAAGGCACCGTTTCACAAAGTTAATGCGCAGACGATCTTCTTGTTCTATTACCCTGAGTTGAGTGTGGAAGAGTGTATAAGCTTCTTGTCATCTACATTGGCCCCTGAGAAGAGTCTTGATTACAATGTGTAGGGGAGGGGAAGGTCAAGAAGCATCTCGACATCCACGGTTGGTGTTGTTCTCATCGCGCCAGTGATGCCCAGGCTGGCCAGTCTATGTAGCCTACTGAGCTTGGACTGCGTGGACTTCACTTCCACCAGACGGGTTCAGCAGTAAGAATGGGTTTGGAGTTGGCATCATACATCATCCTTGCCAGTTTAGGTCTGATGACCTGCTTCCATCCCATTAGTTTCCAGCAGGTCAAGAGAGCTTGTCATCAAGCATAACTCCTAGATATATATTACCCCTTTGGAGAAGTGCATCTTTTCTCCTTGAAGGAATGGTTCTAGTAATTTGTCCCTTTTCCTGGAGAAAATGACTATGCTAGTCTCCTTGGGGTTTGTTTTTAACCCATTGTTACTGCACCAATTGGCGACTATGTTCATAGCATTCTGTAGGAAGTTGGGGATAGTGTCTTCGAACCTACCTCTCATTAGGAAGACAGTGTCATCTGCATACGCCCTGAACGACGAAGCCATTTTAACTAAGAAGGCAGAGTAGTTCGTCTTCTATGATCGATCGTAGCAGAAGGGAGATCACTCCCTGCTGGGGGCAACTTTCCGTTGCTAAGAATTTGACTCTTTTCTGTCCATCAACCCGTTTCCGCCGGACGCAAATGTCTATTAGCGAGTGTTCCGTGTTATCGAAAGCGCCCTCCAAGTCCACATCCGTCACCTCCTCGACCCCCAAAGACTTCTCGATTTGCCTTGTTAGACTTCGAAGAGAGTGAATAGTAGATCTTTCCGGAAGATAGGCAAATTGGTATCTATGCAAAGGGTTCCCGGTAAAGAAACTATCACTGGTATGCTTTTCTAGGATGCTTTTCAATGTTTTAAGTAATACATTCGAATAATGGGTCTGTATGACTTTGGTGATCTGCTGGTTTTCCCCCAACTTTGGGTTGTAGCGGACCGTCACTCGTCACTTCCTGTAGTGGAAGGGACCTTCACACAAAACATGCTCTGAAAAAGGGTAGCAAGCCGAGTGAAGTGTAAGGTGCTGGTAAGACATTATTACGTGCTCCTATTTCCTACGGGGTTCGTACATATACATATATGTATATACATATGTATGCACGTACATAATTTTCCCTGTGATAACTGAATGTGTCATCATAGCCAGCTTTTGCTTGTTTGTTTATCACCTTGCAGCGAACGCGGTAATTAAATCTTATCGGTTAACCTTTTTGTAGCCAAAATTTGTTACTTATACATATCGTGTCTTGGGACGCAATACCTCGCATACGCCAGATTAAATGCCATATGAATGCCCTGATTGCCAAATCGATTAACTCCAATTTTTGACACATCTTAAATTTAAGTTTTAAGCATTTGGTTTAGTCATAAGTTATTATATTTACAATAACTTTACACAATATTCATACAGATAATATTTATAATAATATCATAAATGGAATTTTAACACATTGACTGCCAAGTGAATTTGGCGAAAAATTCTTCACCGGTGCCCAAGCAGTTTTTTATCACACTTCAAATTTACCTCAGAGTTTTTATCATAAAACAGACAAAAACCATCATGAGCTATGCAAATTGAGCCAAAAATGTTTTGAGAATAAGTAGCAGACTACTCTGAAAATATAAAAAATTTCAGTGGAGTGTCGCACGAAAGCGAATGACAAGGTCGAATGTTAAACCACCCCTGCCGTACGCTTTCCTGCGACGTGCCACGTGGTAGTCAAAGTGTTAAAAAATATCGTACATTACTTAGTCGCATCTCTCAACTTTTTGTTAATGGAGTTACCCGTTTTGGCAAGTGAAGCACTCATATATAAGACAATATTTACTTTTAACTTTATAGAGTAGGCTACTATTGAGTCGAATTAATACTTGTCGTATGCGAGGTATTGCGTGCCAAACGCCGATATACGCGCAGAAATAATATTTTTCATAATTTTCTTTCTAACTAGAGGTTATATACATGCCTGGGTTGAACCGTACACCGATCGTAGTAGATTTGCTCTTTAGAATTCTGCGCTAATTTGCTTAACATGAAATTTGCCTTTAAAATAAAATAAGGAAATGATGTTACTTAAATCTTTGCTCTTGCTACGTAAGAGTTAAAGAGGTTCTATAAATTGTTTATGGATCTCCGCAAGGGTTAAGCTTTTGCAATAAAAGCAAAATATCACAAACTGTATACACAAATGATGCCTAAAATTGTCAAATGATTAATAAGCCTTCTTTCCAACTATACACTTCCTTTCAGAGTGAAGTTATCTATGAAATTGGAAGCTAAAATTCAATATCAGTTCAAATATTTTCTGACGTATCCACATACAAACGGTGTTTGTTCTGTATTGAGGTGTAATTGGTAACAACACACAATTCACCCGCCAGTTACTGTTCACGATTGCTAACAAAATAACGTGTTTGCGCGTTTCTCATACGAAAAAAATTAGCACAGTTATAACCTCGTTAGTCATCGACACCTACATACATAAGTATTTATTATCAACGAACGAACCTATTAGAAAAATAATAATATTTTTAGTGCTTCACTCAAACACTGAGGACAACAGTGCCTTTTAGAAGAAATTATATAACTTAGTGAGTGAGCTAATTGTCGAAAACAAAACAAAATCAGTCAAGATGTGCGGCGCTTTGTGGGAGTGTATCAAATGTCCAGGAAAGGTTGTGTGTTGGTAAGGAAAATACAATTTAAATCAAAGAAATCGTTATACATATACAAGCATGCATATTTTACATACCAACCCTGTAAACCATTTTTTCAGAGTATTCAACCGATTTTTTGTCGAATTTTCTAAAATGAAATAAACTGTGCACACTTCGATCCTTTTACGAAATTTCGGAAAAAAATCGGTAAAGAAATCAAAATAATGCTGCTATGTGAAGAATTTCTTGCAGAATTTTTCAGAATTTTCCTTATTTTTCGTACAGAAATTTCTTTACGAGTTCGTGTCAACCACTTCATATAATTTTCTTTGAATATTCGTAAAATGCAATCTTTAGCTTAAAATAAAATTAGAAAATTATTTCAAAACTAAAATTAGGTTTACTGCAAATTATAGGGAGCGACAGAGTCATCCAAATAATATCAGAATTTTAATAAACCTAAGCACATAGAGAAATAAAATTTGTTTAATACTTAAATATTGTCGCTTGGCGCGCAATGCCTCGTACACGTCAAATGCAATACCAAGAATAACGTAGTCCGTAAATTTTACAAAAAATAAAAAAAAACTTATTTTCTTCAAAACATTTAAATGGATTTCGAACTGAACTTACCAAATATGAGCTTCTACTAGTCAACAATTGAGATGGGCTAACCAAAATTAATTGTTTTCTGTGCCAGCTCATACGTGGTATTTATTGCATTTGACGGATACGAGGTATTGCGCGCCATGCGACGATATGTGCGGTCTACTCTCCATTTAAAGAACCGTATGGCCTAAATATATGCAAGTACATCTCTGTGTTCATATGGAATAGTAGCTTATGCCGAAAGGCTGGCTTTAGTATAATGCGGCATTCGCAGCATACGATTGCGAGCCGTTGAAGAACTTTTGGAAAATAAACTCTCTCTAGCCCATAGTTACAGTGATTCGATAGAAAACGCTTTTATAAAAGGAAAAAATCTAGTCTATCTGCATACATATCTACATATGTACATATGTGGGTGATTCACTACTAACTGTAATTTTTCCAAATCTAAAATTTTAAAATTTGTTGAAAATTGTTGTCGGACCTTTTACTACAACCCTTATCTAGTGTTCCCAGGCAATCGTGCATTTACTGTACTCTGCTGCCACAGCACTGCCTATAAAAGTCGAAAATAATACGTGCATATGTATGTACATATATCTATTAATTTTAATGACCTCGACTTGTATTTTCATGTATAAAATACTTTTATTTATTCAACGACATTAAAATTAGTAGTGTTCTACTTCGAGTTACCACCAAGTGAAGAAAACGTGGTTAAATAAAAATTCAATTCATTCACATTTTATTCGGTGGGTCTAAATATTCAGACATTAACCTAACAGCGCTCCGAACCTGTGTGGAGTTCAGCAATTCCTAATGGCAATGATGTTTGGACACTCGAAAATATCACAGAATGCAAGATAAGCGCGACACCATGGTACTGACTGAATATGTTGTGACATACCTTTTTGTTTTTTTTTTTTCAATTAATGCTTCACACTATTAAACATCTGTTAATTCAAAATTCATCGGAATCGTCACTCCTCTACAATATTCAATAGCGCGTGTCGTCTTGGAAAACGAAAAATGGCGACGGTACAACGAAATTAAAATGTCTCTAATATATGTACATATGTATAATAGAACTAGGGGGCAAGACTTTACAGGCTATTCCGTAACATAATTGCCATAAAAATAAAAAATTAATTGCATAGTCGGACGAGAATGACGGCGGAAATGCTAAAATTTACGAAAAGGACATGCCTTGGTATTCACATTTTGACTAGGTTTTTAATCTTGAATCGAATATAGGGTGACCAGATGAGTCGAAGGAAAAATCGGTACACTTGCAAGAGAACAAGTTCATTCTCCCCTCCACGACAAGACACACAATCGCATCTTTGTAGTTGATGGTTATAAGTATAAAAAAAAATTGCCGTTGTCTAGCTTTTATACCGTCCTTTGGTTAACAAAAAATTAGAGGTCATAACGGACGCGACTAAAACAGAAGTGGTTTCAGAGTACATGTAAAAATCTGAATACCAAATTTAAAGCTATAAAGCCGTTTGAGCCCTATGTTAGTATCGGGCGGCTAAAAAGTTTGTAAAAATCAGGACACTAGGCGGGAAAAGAAAAATCAGTCAGGACACTTTAATTCGACCCTGAAATCAGGACATGTCTTGATAAATCAGGACGTCTGGTCACCCTAATCGAATGTGCTCTGCTAATTTTTGTAAATGAAGTACATATGTATGTATGATGTACATATATATAGATTACTACCATCTTTATTGATATTGTGAAAAATTTTAGCATTTTATCATCATTGCGCGATAATAGATAGGCTGAACAAGAATAGGACAGTTTGTAGAGAATCATCCATAGCTAAGGTAAGGGATTTAGCAACAAAATTCAAAATGCTATTGTTTGCAACTTATGTTTAGTTATTTATTATTTTAATTTAAAATATACATAATTCAATCTATATAAACAGAAACCATATACCGCACACGATCTTCAAAAGTGACACAACTTAAAGATTGGCATTCTTGAAATTATGCGCTAAAAATGTACGCAGAGCTTTTATTTACCTTTCAGCAAAAGCTGGAGCATTTTTTTTTTTATAATTTGTTGAAAAAAACCTAAGGTAAAGCCTTCCTTGCAAATATGATTAGCATGTGCTAAGAAATAGTTTTTCGTATTTTCTTACGAACGTGTCATTTTGAGTTGTGTCTCTTTTGAAGACGGTATGCGATATGTAAATAAATACAAGTTTCAAAAATTGCATAAATTTCACAAAAATTAATCAATCTTCAAAAAATTGTCATCAAACTTTTTAAACAGAATCTTTAGGGTATGCAGTCAAAGTTCAGTCTGATAAAGTGCAGTTTACAAGCAGGGTTGGGCACGCTGCACTGAGCATTTCATTATCACCAATCGTGTAATGGTAGTGAAATTGGAAATGCATTTGCACTAAGTGCATAGTGGTAGTCGAACCAATTTGTCACTTCCACTAATCATCTAGTGGTAGTGAAATCTGCAATGTACTATCACTGAAGCCCTTGTGGTAGTGAAAATCTCGATTTAGTGCAGCGTGCCAAACCCGGTTTACAAATCGCTAAAAATTACACTTGATTTTTTCGTTTCTTTTTTTCCGGGGGTGTTGCCCATTTTTCATTTCAGATATTTTCTTATTTTTCGTAATTTTTCTTCAAAACGAGCATTATTCCTATAAATGAAACTTTTCCGATGCCCTGATTTTTGAGGAAAAATAATTCAAGTGACTCTTTGTATAGTCAACAAAGTACAGAATATGGTTGTCACTTCTTTAATTTTGAGGCTAGACACTTTAATAGCCGGTTTCACGAAACTTAATAGTAGAAGTGAAATTTATATTAATTTTTTGTTTAATCCCTCATTTATGTACATAAGCTTTACTTGAACACGTGATAAAAGTTTAGTTTTTAAAATTTGTTTTCCGTATTTTTTTTTTGCGCTCAAATCAGTGATAAACACCTTTAACAAAGCTACAAATAATCACATTGAAATAAAGACTAAATCGAAAGGAAAAACTTGAAATAATTTTTTATTCAAATTACTTTCGTGAAACCGGCTATCAAGTTTTAGTTTCGTTTACTCCCGTTTTAATTATTAATATCATAGACCAGCAAAACTAATAAAGCTCACCAGCTACTCTAATAAAGAATGTACATTAGGGTGGTCCAAAAATGCATGTGAAAAGGTAAAATCTGAACTTGAATGCTCTCACCCCCTAGCATTGTTTTATACCGAAAAAACTATACCCCCGTTTTTTTTTCTTTCAAAGTTGTCCATGTATTTTATAAGGGGAAAAACAAGTTTTCAACAATGGTATAAAATTCTCGAATATCAATATTTTTCGATCGGAAAACTTGTTTATTATACCAGTTTTTAGTACTGGCGAGTTTTTGTGGATCCCCTCAGTGAAATTTTCGAGATTTTTAGGGATTCTTTAAACAATGATTTTCCCATATAAAATATGCACATGGAAAACTTTTGGCGCTTTCAGCGCCCTGTAAATATTAAAAAAAAAACAGGGGTATAATTTTTTTTCGGTATAGAACAATCTTAGGGGTGAGACTTTATGGTTTATGGACCGCCCTAATAATGTGTATGCAGCCTAATTAGTGTAGCTTTTACTAAGTGGCTCATGATCATGCCTAACTGTAATTGACTATCAAATGGGATAGGTCGATAATTATTTTAGTTAAGTGGAACATTTTTATTGTGATGTATACCTCTGACCCGTCCTTTTCAATGTTAATGTAAACTTCTCATGAAACCTAAAATACGTATGAATATTCAACATATCTGATTTACGAGTGCTTTGCCACTCCTATGTATGTATGTAAATATGGCTAGTAAATATTATGACCAAGTACTCTTAGATATATGTATATGGTATTCGCATTATAAAGTGTAATTTGCTTTGAAATACTCACAACTGAGATACTTAGAGAACAATTTACACATACACATACAATATGTATGGATGTACTGAATTAAATCACTAAAAGACGATAAGGCAAATTTCCAATATGGCCGAGTCTAATGAACGGTATCAATTCTTTGATAAGAAAATTTTTATAAATCGAATAATCGACGAGGCACTTATGTATTCCCTTTATGAAGGTATGTACACATCGTCGTTTAAAGTACAAAACCGCGTATCGTCGTTCTGCAAAATCGCGTAACTGACATTTTTTGCCAAAAAAACCGAAGCTCTTGGCTCAAGCATTATCTATTCGCCCGGAAATATACTAGCCAGAAATGCGATTGCTTTATAAAAGAGAGAACAATTTTGAAATATGAGTGCTTTTACTCTCTACAAAATAATATATGGTTTTTTTTTTACTTTAAACGGCGATATGTATGTATGTAAATATATGTTCATATATGTATAGTAGTCTATTAGGTTCTCGTTACTTATAATATACCAATAGGTGGCTTAACTAGTAAGACAATTTAAAAGTTTATAACCAATATCACTAAGCAAGCCTTTTTCTATTGTTACTAACCTATGTTTTGAACTGCATTGGTTCGAGTCGACATACGCCATTACTTAACCCCACTGTCGATGTGGAAAACTTACTACAGCCAGTATTGGTAATGAAGAAATGTGACACGAGTGGTATCGGCACTGTGCTGAATATGGCTTAACGACGAAACCGGTTTGTCTCCAAACCAAACTTGACCAGGGATTATGGTAATTCGCTCCGAAATTAAACCTCTTCCCCTCCTGTCGGAAAAATCGATCAACATTAGCATGTCAAAAAACAACCTTTCTAAAGCACATGCCTCCTGTTGTCTATTTTTCGGTTTTTACTGCCTATTTTTCTTACTTTTTTCGCTGTTTTATATTGCCTACATCGTCAAAATCCATACCCTGGTAATTATTTTGCCTTCCTTAATTATACAATTAAATTTGCAATTATGCTCCATCATAATACGTACATGTGTACTTAAAATGTGTTTAATTTACAAAACTTTTTCTCTTTACAGCTGCTGCAAATGCGCCCTGAATATGTTTCTCGGCGTTTTTTGTTCGGTCATTGTGTTAGCTGTTATTATCGGCCTGATCGTTTACTTCACTGTGTACTACCACAAGGATAGTTCCAGTAACAATCAAGAAAAGCTAGTACGACAAGTGATCACTGCTGCCCCGCTAACATTTAAGGAGTACTTCCAGCAACAAAATTAAATACACACATATATATCTAATACTTAGACTAACACGGAGTTGAGGCATTTTCAATTATTTACTTAGGTTAAGCAATGAGTATTATTGTGTTATAATTATTTATGTGGTTGATTTTTATTTTTTTTTTTTTAATACTGGTTTTATAGTTCTAATGACAAGATTTAACTATTTTTAATGTTATTTAATATAAGTGAATTTTGTGTTATTTGCAACCACAATTAAAATTGTATTATAGTATATGCCGGTGATACTGCAAAACGTTCTATGTCACTTATTACCTTTGGTGCTTAATTGAACTTTTATCTGTATCTGATCGCTTTTGGCAATCGTTCATCTTCATCAGCCAAAGGTATATAGTTTTGTCATTCGTTTATTAGGGTGTAACGATTTTCAGATGCATTCCGGTACAAGTAAGAGACCATCTAAGTGTCAAGGGTACTAAGAGACATAGAACGTTTTGCAGTATCACCGACGATATGTACATACATAATGTACATGGCGTTGTGTAATTCGAAATTCGTGGAAAGAAAGTAAATAAAAATTTTATTTTGCAGTATTAAAAAAACGTCAACTAGTCTTATCTCAAAATAATTATTACTCAAAGGCATTAAGACTTAAAAATGTTATTTATGGCGTTTAGCGATAACCGATTTCATATCAATATTTAATTCTCTATATTCATATAAAGGCCAAAATTATTGCTTTTGAATAATTATATTGGCGTATGAATGCGTCGTGGCACATTAACAATGTCGTGAAACTTATAAATTTATTATGTATATATGTCTACATACAAATGTTTTTACATACATATGTGCGAAAGTATCTATTTTACCTACAGGTTTGGAATCACGACTGCGACTATGACTTGTAGGGGAATTCAAGGATACCGAACTGATTCTAATGAATTTAAAGCTATTGCTACTTTTTTGTATTTGACCGCTTTGTGAGTCCGCCAAACATGAGGAATTTCGAGTGCTTTTGAGTACGCATTTCCTGAGTTATATTTTATGAGTGTTTGAATTATTCAATTGTTCACAGAGTTTTTAAAGAAAGGTCCCCCACAGACACCTGCATACATACATGTGGACGTACATATGTATGTCGTGAGAAAAAATGAATCATATAAGTATTTATGTAAATATTGACTTTGCAGAAAAAAAGCCAAAAAAACGATAGACAAATTGATGTGTTTGATTGTTTAAATTAGTTAGATATGTAATTTCTTTGAGCAAGAAAAGGAACGGTTTTACTTATCTTATTTTTTCAAGTGTGATGATGTTTAAAAACTTACGATACACATGCATTTGAAAAAAAACCAAATGTATGTAGTACCCATGACGCATGATGCAATAATGAAAGGTGTTATACGTTGGCAACTTCTCGCTCTAATCCGCCATCTTGAACTACCTTAGGAGAAACTGTGTTGTTTCTTTGCTATTTTCACTGAACATTTCCCCAAATATTTGAAAAAAATTCTGAACAAGCTACATTGATTCAATTTTCGTTGTTCGTTTTGTTCTTATTCGCTGACATTTGTTTTCCAATTGCGTGAAATTTGGTAAGTATTGTAATAAAACCGAATTATTTTACAAATAAATTATAATTTTGCATTTATTAGGTCATTTCCTTAGAGTTTCGCTGACCGACCTGTGCTGGTATTGTGATTAAGAGCTAATACACGTAAGTTACAACATATTATTTTGACTTTATTGCTGAACCATTCCATTTGAGCTCTTTGTTATTTCAAAACCTAATGAACCATTTATTCGCAGATTTTTCGGACGATTCTGCTGTGCTGCGTTCCTGCTCCGCCTGTATATTGCTCCGCCCGTATTTTATAGTGTTGCGTTCCTGTTGCGCCTTTGCATTAGTGTGTGCGTTGTGATCTAGACACGTTGAAGTAAGTTGAAACCAGGTTCTCGTTTGTTAAAAACCTAAAAACCCATTTATTTGCAGATTTTTTGTATGCTTCTGCTGTGCTGCGTTCCTGCTCCACCCGTGTATTAGATTGCTGCGTTCCTGTTAACATACATATCGTCGCTTAAAGTACAAAACCGCGTAACTGACATTTGCTGCTAAAAATTGAATTCGCTCACACACGTTTTTGGATCAATCCTTATCCATTCTTCCTGAAATATACTAGCCAAAAATGCGATTGCTTTTTACAAAAAGATAACCATTTTGAAATATGAGTGTTTTTACTCTCTAGAAATTAATTTATGCAACCTTGCATACGTGGGTTTGCATTATCTCTATACGCGGTTTTGCAATTTATTGATACATGGTTTTGTACTTTAAACGACGATATGTATGTAGATGTATGTACATGTATATCACATATATTGACTTAGATATGTATACACAATTAATGGTGTACATACATTTTTTTATATTGAAACTAGATATGTATATAGTACATATTTTATTATTATTAGTCGGTTCAAAAAAGTCCTATCTCAAATAAAAATACTTCGAAAATGTGCTGAGATAGGGTGTTTTTGAACCGAGTTCCGAGATAGGGCATTTTTCAATCAAATTCTAAAATAGGGCGTTTTTCAGCCAAATTTTGAAATAGGGCGTTGAAAAGCTTTCTGATATCGGGCGTTTTCGACCTGGCTGCCGAGATAGGTCGATCTTCTACTCAGCCATCGATATATGGTCGAAGACGATTAAACACGATTTGTTTTTAATCGATTCTAAAAAAACTAAGGTAATTTTTAGCCACTTCAAACTTGCATATAATTAGACTAAAATTTAAGGGGCTATAAAACTGAGTGCTCAAAAAAATTCTAACACTTCTGAGAAAAAAATTTGAATTTTGGGTGAAAATTTGTTGTATTTTTTGTAGTTTTCTACGAAGTTTTAAAATTGGGTTTACACATAGAAATTCAACTTTACTTTTGTTGCAAATTCTTAGAAATAAATAAATTAACATGAGAGGGAAATAATATCACTTTGAAATGGGGTTGGTATTGATATGACCGATACTGTATGTATATAATACATTTTGTACAATTAAAAAAAAGTGGATTTACTAAAATGAACACAACGTATTAATTATAAATTCTGAAATATGTCGTTAATTTCAAAAACAAATAAATAAAACATTAAAAAGTAGTCAAGGCTTGCTGTATGACACGAACTTGGATATACGTGAACTTGGGTAATGTATAATTCTTTATATGATTCCTCAAAATATCCCTTATATAACACTGTGGAACACAAAAAAAAACCTTAGTGCGACTATATCAGGTTTGATATCTGTTGGCCATACCAATAATGCCTCATACTCAGATTTACTAGATCAATTCGTGTTCTCCGAGAAAAAAAATTTTCACGATCCAAAAATCTGCAAAATCTTTTTTCTCCAAATTTTGAACATTTATCG